AAGACACTATATATATATATATATATATATATATTTGAGTAGACATACATTGGAATACCTATTTTTGGATAGTAACGCGTCTGATTAAGTATGCCTGGCCCTCCGTATTCATCGAGCACTGACTCTCAGATAGGAGTCTTGCCTTCCCACAAGCCACTACAGGCAGCCAATACCGTTGCCGCTGGAAGTTCACCACGCTTTATTCAGCTGCCTTCACCGGTATATGTCGTGTCCTGGATATCTACGACACATGTTCTGATCGCCGCAGGTGGGGGCGGTAGTCGTTTTGGGATGGTTAATGTGCTTATATTACTTTCTATTCATCTCAGCAATGATAATGATGCTGAAATGGAAAATACTGCTGCATGTTTGGGATTATCCGTGAAGCTAAATGAGGAACAGCACAAGATGGTGGTGAAGGCTGCATCGCCTAGCTCTGACCCTGTTTCTGGATCCATTGAGGCGGGTGTGCGAGTTCCACACTTGTGGCGGTTTGTAGCAGGGCTGGACCTCGGTAGTGATGTACCGTGGTGTGCCTCAAAATACCTTCCCCTGGAACGAGCGGAGGCAGGGTGCAGCAAGCCAGACGATACGATACCCGTTTCTACACGAGAATGGACACTGGAAACATGTCAATGTCTTCGGTATGCACACGGCATCATTGCATTGAGCAGCATTTGTACATTTAGTCTCATTGCGGTGGAGTACGTCCCACAAAATAGCCAAAAAGGTGAATCTATTCAGACTAGCGAATCTTCATGTAGTGAAACGTACCGATTAACACTTCTTGCGCGTGTGGCTTTGCCCACCGAGACAAATAACGAGGACAAAAAGCCCATTGCGATGGTGCGGTACGCTGTTATTGTTGCTCACGATGCGTGTGGAATTCACGCCTACGACCTGCGTCCCCTGCTGCTGGGGGGGGAAGGGGAGGGAAAGGGCGGCGCGGTGGCACCAGTGACGCAGGCAACTCCAATGGCTAAGTGGGCGTTACCAGACCGCGTTAACGATCTTCATGCTGATCGCTTCAGCTGGGTGTCAGTGAAGGCATCTCCTTTACAGACAACACAGGAGTCTCACCTCCAGAGCATTTCGCCTAAGCCGTCTTACAAGGCCCTTGCTTTGGACTACGTGCTTGTTGCCGCTCTGGTCCGAGACAAGACTCTGCGGCTGGGCTCTTTCCTCCAATATGGACCCCATGCCCCCCTTCGTCGATTGTGCCGTGGACAGGAGCACCTTGATGGGATCGATTGGGAGAGTGAGGAAGAGGAGCAAAGTGAAACCGAGTTAGTTGTGATAGAGACGATTAAAGAAGAGGCAGTACTGACCGGAGTAGACTGTGGGCTACAGTTTAATCTGTTACCCTCTTCTATGCGTCTTGTGCGTCTGTTTGGATTGGAAACCCTTTCTTCTTCCGCGCAAGATGCCGCCCTAAGGGCACTTACCTTGAGAATCGCACAACATGCTGAGGAGCCTTTGATGCCCTTGCCGCTCGTTTCACTGCTTATGGTGGTCTATGACCAGCACAGTAATCAGTCCTTTTTTCTGCATGCACAAGTGTTGGTATGGAGTTGCTCAGGGACTCTCTCATCAGAAAAAGGGATATCCGCTAAATGTGATGGCAAGTGTGAAGGAAACAGCTGCCGCCGTGGCAGAAGGGGGGGGCATCCGATTCATTGCCAAATCCATTTAGGGGCTGGTGGTCCCTCACCAATCGTTAAGGATGCAATAATATGCTTCTCACCGTGTCTTGATATGGATGTACGTCGCGAGGTTGCTCCGAAACAGACACAGGTGAACTTTCAAAGTGCCGTTGGTGCTTCCATTCCGACACATTGGTTGGCTGGAACTGCAGAAGGATGGATCGTATTGGTAGTGCGGAACCCTCGGATTCAGCAAGAGGAATTGGGTGTCGATAGTTTATCTTGCGCAAATCTATCCGCCAAAGATGGGATGGTGGAAGGTATGGGAAGCAGTTACATCGGTAGTGAACATAGTGGTGTTTCTGAGTCGTTTTTTGTATTGCGACATGCTCGACCGTCCCTTTTGTTGAGTCGGAGTGATCGACCAGGGAAGGTTAGTCTAGGCCGTGGGAAAGATCACTGCTGGGGGAATCCAGACGTTCCCCTTCACTATGAGCCGGTTACGGCGGTGGCGGTTTCAAAATTGAACGATGTTTTATCAACTGACATAGCACAGAATGTTGTGCTTTCCACATTACCAGTTCCAGTTCGAGCCAGTAACACTGCTATTCTGCCGAATTATTCAGAATCAATTGATTTGTTGCCAAAGGTAGAGGGCTTGGAGCTATTCCCTAAGGCACTAGGCTTCCATGCAAAGATTGTTGGTGCCCTGGCTGCAACAAATGCTCTCCTTATGCGCCTTAGGTGGATACTGTTGATATTAACTGTGTTATGGGGAATATTTATCCTGTTTTGCTAATGTCACTGCATTTCGAGTCTATTAACTACACAGTCATTGTATTCTATAAAACAGATCATATAACGAGGAAGAGGCCATCACGCCCTCGAAACACATTTTATTTCTACAGTTTCTAAAGGGTTTGACGAGAACAAGAGCACATCTATAATATTTGTGCTTTACTTCGGTTCACTAACCATATTCGCACCTGTACAACCTACCTACAAGCTACTCTGGATCTTGCTCAATTAGGCTTAAAACTTTAATCCTGTTCTTGTGTCTCTCACGAAAGTAAAGCAAGTGAATCATGTTTTTTCTTATATATTTGTTTTTCATATTCTTGCTCAAGGCAAAGACTATTTATTTATATTTTTCTTGATAATTCAATGCCTAGGCCTGAGAATCTGAGTTGGCAATTATATATGCTTCAAGCCCTCATAACCTTGCCATTCTTTCGAAATATTTAATAGGGGTGGCGCGTGAGAGCAAGTTTTCATCAGCACTGATACTGTTTCGTAGACGGTGTTTGTTCCAAGTTTGACATTTTAGATCACTTCAAGACTTCTGGTGAGATCCTCATGTGATATTCACTCGAATCATCGCATTTGGCTGACTGTGCTCATGATGACAGTAGCGCGATAGTGGAGGCAAAGGTAACGTTGCTGAGTGTGGTGAACACAATGAGTGTTGAGAGGCGAAGTACATTTGAAGTTACTTAAAGATATTTATTACTCGGTCAATGGAGAGTGCTACAACATTTTTCATCCCTCATGAATCATAGCATCTTCCTTTTTCATAGCTTTGGCAATGTGTAACGAACCGGCTAGCTTTTTTATCTATTCGTATGAGTTTTTGTTGCATTGTGTACGGGCTATGACAACAAAACGACATGTTTAGCACGCTAGTTCATATACAATTCTCTTTTTAGTACGCGTAGGCAGGGGAGAAGGTAGAAGAGAGAATAACATGTATTTTTTTAGTCTGCTAGAGTTACCAAACGAAGGACCAAGAGCTGGGAACTTCTCCAGAGGATTCACATAATCTTTACTTTTAGGAAATAAGTTTCTCAGTGTCATAGCCTTCGAAGATATATGCTACTGATAGTTTTATGTAAGTGTTTTTCATAGGTATTGTTTGTTCTATTAAAGGCATCCCTTTTATCCCTCGCTCTATCACCCCTTCTTCCTCCTCCCTTGTATTCCGGGGCTATTTTGAAGCAGGCTAGTTTGAGGAAATCCTTACCCTCAAAAAAAATGCATAGGTTGGATTTCCATAGGACCCCTGCGAGAAGCTAATGTTGTTGTTCCTTTATTTCATGGTGGCTTTATTACTACATTGATGATTGCATTATGAATTCTTGGTGTCAGTTGAAACCCGGATTCCATGTTTACCTGCGTGCTTAGGAAACGATAAAAAAGCTAAGGTATTGTATTTCGTTATGCTAGACGTTCTGGGGTGCTATTTTATCTAGCACAAGGTCTGGGAAATGTTTCTAACTGCTAAAAAGGATTGCATGATGATAACTGGTCTAACGTGCACGACTAAAACACGTTATTATGAAGCATTGTTTATGATTATCCCATAGCCTTTTGCTTCCTCACTGAAAATCCTTTTTGAATTCCATATTCCACCAATAGTTGTGTTCAAAACCCCCTCCTCTTGCTTTACATGCTCTCGATTAGTGACTTATGCATCTTTTGTACATAAACAAAGTGAGGGCGCTCTGTGTGCTGTGAGCGCCTTTTTCGATACCACATTTTCAGGCTGTATGCGTGCACGTTTGTGGGCAATGTTTCTTTTCTCCTACCTCCCCAAATATCATATACTTACTTTGTATATACGCGTGCAAATGATTATTCCTATTTTCTGATGTAATGAGTCTGATATAGTTTACCCTCATTTAATTGGGGGACTCTATTTGTGATCGACATTTTCTCATATTACTGATGACACGCAAAATAAAAAGGTAGTATAAAGGGCCTGGTATATCACCTCACATCAAGATCAACAACTTTATGATGGTTCTAATAAATCATTAACATTAGTTTTCCTTGACTATTTGTAATGTATGTGCACGTATTTATTCGCCGCGGGGTTCCGCATAAGTTGTGTTTTAGTGTGGTTGGGGGTTGGTGTAAAAAAGGTGAAGTGTAAAATGCTTGCCCAGTGTTATAGTGCATAACTTTGGGGGGTCTTTTTATGCAGTTCTTCCTTCTTTTTTGACAAACAACGGGATTCATTCTCGATATTTTTCAATTATTTTCTCGAGTTTGATATTGAAACTTTAGTAAGAGGACAGAAAAAAACAATTAATTCCAGAATATATGGTATATTGTCACTATTTAGTTTCGTTAAGGGTTCACCACATTTTGTATTTAAAGAAACATATACTCGCTATCTTCTACAATGGGCTACATCATCAATGAGTTATATCGCTTCCGTATGCTTGTGGGAGGGGTATACTTGGGCATCCTCATCAGCTCGTCCTACGGCTTTAGCATCTTTACGGAACATCTCAAGAGCAAGTATGGCTTTACTCAAAGCGAAATAAGTACTATTAGTACAGTTGGGAACTGTACTGGTTATCTCAGTTTTTTTGCGGGCATGCTATTTGATTTCATGGGGCCTAAGGTGGTAATTTTCATATCAGGCTGCCTAGGCAGTTTAGGGTTTATGCTTTATGGTCTTGCCTTCGATGACATTATTCCGAATAATCACAATAGACAGTCAATGCTGGTTCAGTTCTGCGTATTTAACACCATCCTCTATCTTGGATGTCCTTCCCTTGATGTGTGTGCGTTGATGTCGCTCATGCTCAACTTTCCTCTTGAACGCGGGTATATGGTAATTATTCAAAAAACTTTTTCTGGCCTCGGTACCGCAGTGATTGTGGCCTACTTTAATGCCTGGTTCAACAAAAGCGGTGGCGCAATGTATAGTTCATATGCTTACTTCCTAGCAAGTCAGTTTGTTATTTATTCAATTGTGGGGATCCTTACGATTGATTTGCCACCCTACTTCATGTGTGATTACACGAAAAAGCGTGCATCAGCGGAGGAGAGAGCAGAGCGGGAGGAGACACGAAAGTATTTTATGACTCAGCACGCCTCAAAACGCCGTTTGCTAATCGGCTGTACACTGACTATTCTGATGTTGATCTTCGCGATTATCACCTCCATCGTATTAGGATCTGGGAATGTCTCTGGGGGCGTACGTTTTGCCCTCGGCATTATCGCTCTCATTCTGGTTCTTCTCTTTATGGTCATGGCGTTTCCATTCCAATTTTTTGGCCGCTACACGCCAATCCGAAAATCACATCCAAAATTCTCGGTTTTAGGTTTCCCAGAGGGTGACGATCTACAGGTAACAGAGACCGTACTGGGCCCTGCGCCGGAGGAAATCAACAACAATAGGGAGCCAGATCACGATTGCTATCCGGATCAAAGCGCTGAGGGGGTTCGTGACATAAGTCTCAAGAATGAAGGTCAAACTTACCGCGAGGTAGGTTCTTTGGAGCACTTGCAAGAAACATCGTCGGAGAAGTCAGAACAGGAGATGCAAAGCGCACCACTGGGTGATCCGCAAATCCATGGGAGCTTCTGGAGCCATCTGCTGACTTTGGATTTGTGGCTTCTGTGGATCACTTTCTTTGGCGTGTGGGGAACGGCTACCGTGATGATTATGAATGCCGCACAACTGTACCGCAGCATTAACATGGGCAAGATCACTAATACACAACTAACTCTGTACATTACAATTATTAGTCTCGGAAGCGCGATTGGGAGGCTTTCAAGCGGCGTGATCGATATGTGGCTACTGAATAAAAGCCAGAAGGGGCGTGCTACCATGTCGATCACCGCGTTATTACCAGTATCTGCCCTCCTCTTGACAGTCGGCTACCTCCTTTTCGCCATTGTTGGTGCTCATATTCTCATTATACCTTTCTTTTTGGTTTCGTTGGGCAACGGACTGGGATGGGGTCTTGGTGGACTTACAATTCGTGCCATATATGCTGAGGATCTCGGCAAACACTACAATTTTATGTTTCTATCAGGCTTCGTTTGTACGATCACACTTAATCGATTTATGTTCGGTGAGATGTATGATAGGAGGGCTGAAAGGTACGGCACTCTACCAGACTGCAACCACCCGGACTGCGTGCGCCCCCAAATGTGGATTCTCATGGCTGCGGACTTCGTATCACTGTTGTCATCTCTAATTTTGTATTTCCGCTACAAGCGGTTCGTAATGCGTGAACTCTTAAAGCGAAAGGAATCTGCATAGGAAAGAAAGCTCGGAGGATTTCTTGCATTTTTTCGCGTTTCCTAATAACATTTGGAAGAGGGGTAGCATGAAATTTTAAAAGTTTGACTCTGATCAAGACAGTAGAACTAAGTACAAATGCGTTCATAAAAAAATGATACCCACGTGGTAGTTGTAAAAGCATTGGTAAAATTTTATTAAAAAGGGGGAAATGTAGAGTCACCCATGTTGAAGATGAGGGGGAGAAGGGGAAAATATCGTTGGAGTAAAAATTTTTTATAAGTATATTTATCTCTAGGCTCTTTATTTTTGAACATACATTACTGTATGTGTATCTAAGTAAAAGTGATAATTAGAATACATTTCTTAGGTAAGAATATAAACTGTTACTTTATCTTCTTTAATATTTTGTCAAAACTATACGTGGTGATGTTATTATCCTGGTTATTTTGTATTTTTTTTATTGAAAATCGATCAGCTATATAGAAATACAGGCTCATAGGCATCCTAGAGATGTCAAAAGCTTCTTTTTGGTCATCTCCTTTTTCTTTCATAATCTTGAGATGCTCATGGAGCCTCGAAACATTTGGAAAATGTGTAGCCCTTATGGATTAAATTAAGCTACATATACTGTAGTATATAAAAAGCGGGGCGATGTATCTTCTTGAATTTTTAAAAACTTGGCAAAAGTTTTATTCCCTGGTAAAAAGAGAAAATCCTTTCAATTTCGTAAATATATTCGGCAATCACCGCATTTCGCATCTGAACTTGACGATTCTTATTGTTCAAGCTTTACGGTTAACGATAAGCAAGTTCGAGGATAGGAGGTATGTAATGCTCAAGTACTTGTCAGAATTTAAAAATGTCGTTTTGTTACTATTATATCATATCCGAAATGATTAAAATAAAGAAAAATATGAATAGAAACTCAAAAATAAGCTACACTGCGATCGTCAGAGGCGTCAGTACTTTTTGGTCGTACTTTCAAAAATTGTATTAAATTTAATTTTCTAATTCATTGTGCTCGTTAAAGATTCGAATATTGATTTCCCATATTAATTTTTTATGCCCTTTTAGATCCTCATCCCAAAGAAGGAGAAAAAAGGCCACCTTAGAAACGTATAGTTAAGGAAATCGGATATGTGTGGGATATTATTTTCCTTAAAACAACGCTTCTATAGTAAGGAATCCTCTTTGAGGTTTGTAAAAGGAGGTGACGCCAATAATGCTACGTTATCGATGGAAACGGTGCACGACTCAGATCAGTCTCCTGCAGAAGGCCTTGACTCTTCAGTAGTTCCTTGTTCGCATGAGTTCCAGGCATACCAGGATAAAAAAGACGAGTCCCCACTTAGTGAGACAAATAGGTATGTAGTGAGACCATGCAAATCTCCCGAAGAGCTGTGGACTGCTGCGCTGCCGTGCTGCCGCGGGCCATACAAACCGACCTCCGGGGGTGTCCCTTACTCATCCTTGTCCTCTTCAAGCTCTAAACCATTCGATCGTCTCGTAGAAAACATATCCCGACGAGGGCCGGACAGCTTTGGTGTCACGAAACCTGATCTTCCTGATGTGCTCTTGGATATGAATCAAACCTCATCAACGGTACGAAAGCAAAAAGACGAGATTGATAGCGATAGTGCGGTGCTTATGCAAACTAGGCTCGAGGGTGTGGCTTCTGTGCTGGGACTTCGTGGTCACACGATAATACAGCAGCCATACGAAATAGAGGTTGAGACAGATCAGGATGACGATGGAGCGGTGACATCTAACAAATCGTTTTTGCTGTTGAATGGTGAAATTTTTAATGGGTCTATGCATCCTCCGCCGTGGGGCTCCGACACCATCGTACTGGCCAGCAGACTCTCGCAATTGGAGCAAGAGTACGTGTCGAAGAACGGCCGCGACCTCATGCATGACCTGCCCCTTGCGCAGCGTCAGAGTCAGTTCCTTGCGCGCTGCGTTGACGTTATTGAGAGCGAAGTTCAGGGACAGTACAGCTTCGCTTTCTACGCGCACCAGCTGCAAATGATAGTTTTCGGTCGTGACCCACTCGGCCGAGTCTCGTTGCTTATGCATTTTGCTGTTCATACTGCATCCTCGCCAGAGGCAAGCACACATAGCATGGGACCCAGTGATGATGGCCGCTCACGCGGCACTTTTTTAATGGGGACTGAACTCTTGGTGTCCTCTGTGGGGGTTCAGCACACACCAATGCGCAGCGCAAACTCTGCAAAGGCTAATAAACTTCAGGTTGCTACCCAAGAGAAAGGGGACTCCTCCACTGTAAAGCGAAAAAGAGAAGAACAGCAAAGCAGTGCGTCAGATGATGATGATAATGATGTCAATATGGACAAGGCGGGCATAGCACAATCTGTGGAGCCAAACCATGATGCGACGTACTGTTGGAAAGAAGTACCTATCACAGGGTTGCTAGGCTTGCCGCTTGACAAGCCGTTTCTTCCATTGCCTCGATGGGGAACCCATCAAGCGATGACTGAGGTTGGAGAAGGTATTTTGGACACATTGGAGGCTGAGTTCATGCACTGCCCTTGGCGAGATGCGTATCATCTTGTTCATCCGCTTCTTCGAGCGCAAGTCGCCGCGGAGGCAGCGAGCGCGGGTGGATTCAGCATGTCACCAGTGGTTCACAATTTCAAGAACAATAATCACCTCCAGTACCCAAATGGTGGGAACGGAGTGGTGCTTTTGGATGTACTGCCTCCATTACCACCGCTTTTAGCCGAGCGTGTGGCGGCCTCGTCACCCAAGTCAGACTCCGAGGACGATGTGTGGGCGCACTGGGCGGCTGTTCTTTATCTGCACTCCCTCACGGCTGCTGTCATGCGCCGCACGAACGTTGCATGTTCTGGTGCGGAGGATAGCCGAGACACACACAAACTTGCTGCTGCCCTGCGGCGGCCCCTGTGCATTTTGTTCTCCGGTGGTATCGACTCCACTATGTTAGCAGCGCTTGCGCACTTTTCACTTCCCATTGAGACTCCGATTGAGCTCGTGAATGTTACTTTTGGTGAGCATTCGGAGCAGGCGCCGGATCGCGTGACAGCGCTGCAAGCTGTTGAGGAGTTGCTGAGGCTTCCGCAAGGGGAGCCGCAAGACTCGTCTTTTGGCACTGTGCGGGAGCGAGAGTGGCGGCTGGTATTCGTGGATGTCCCTAGCAAGTACTCGGCGGAGACGCCACACCTCTTGGATCTTGTAACGCCTCAACATACGGTGATGGATATGGATATAGGCACGGCATTGTGGCACGCTTCCCGTGCTAAGGGCCGCATGCAGAGGCTGTACCACAGCGATGTTGAGTCGCAGTTAACAACGAGCGACGCTGCGGGCTCAAATGAAACCGCGACCCCAGGTGGGGTTATCAAGAGCCTTCAAAACTTTTCTAAACACTTTCGTGTGCTACCAGGTTCTTTGTTTTCGAAGAGGCAAGTTGTGCTGACTTCGGATCGCCCCCCTTTAGGTGCTAAGATCGAGACTTCGGACACTCCGACAGCTGCGAGCACTCCGTGTGATGACAGGGTTGATGGGCACTTTGATATACTCGTGGAGGTCCTGATCGCGGAGGCGCGTCAGCGCGGCGGGCCCGATTTCCCCGTACTGCTGTCCGTTCTGGGGAAAGAATACAGACAGTTTCTGCATGAGCATATCTCCAGACTTGGGTACAAGAAGCTGGGGTCTTTCCTTAATGACGCGTCCCGTGCAGGGGTCATCCGCTTTGTTCCGGATATGCCCTCAAAGGCTGTGGTTTTGGTGAGAGAAGAGGATCGGCAGCGCGCCTCCGAGAAACCACCGCAGCGGTGGTTTCAGACAAATCGCATGAGGGCAGAAGAAGATTTTTTGCAGGACCCTCTTCCACCAGAGGGAACGTATGAACTCGAGTATAATTCAACTGCTAAGGTAATTCTTCTTGGTATCGGCGCTGACGAGACGCTAGGTGGTTACACACGTTACCGTCGTTTATACAACCGCAAGGGCATTAAAGGCACACGGCGCGAACTGGATGGGGACTTCTCACGCTTCTGGAAACGGAATCTGGGGCGGGACGATCGTATTACGATGGATAATGGCCGTGAGCCGAGGTTTCCTTACTTGGATGAGGAAGTCCTGCGCATGTTGGAGCACATTGTCTGGAGAAGGCGCAAACAGATACTACAAGAACGTCAGTCCAACCTTGAGCAGCAGGAGGCCACCAACACTGGTGCTGCCATTGTGCCTCTCTATCCTGCTAGCGATGATGATCAGCTACTGCAGGCCAGCATTGCTCCTGTCATGAGCCTTGAACTTGGTGCAGGTGAGGGCGACAAGCGTGTTCTACGCCATGCAGCAGCTATTATAGGCCTGGACAGGGTGGCGCGACTCCAAAAGCGAGCTATACAGTTTGGCTCGCGTATTGCGGATAGACGAATACACGGGCCAGAAGAGTTATGTTCAACTTTACTCATATAAAAATATAAAACAATGAGATAAAAAGGACTCGTTGCACATCTCTGATTGCAGCAGTCGTCTTCCCCTCCCTCCTCCCACGATTACAATTGAATCATGATGTGGTGATTCTACTTCTAACAGTAAAGGGGACGGAGGATAAAAGAATAAATGACATAAAGAGGAAAAGAGGGACAATCATACTTAAAATACCGTCTTTTAAAAAATATTTTGTTTAAATACAGAATCTACATGCTTTGATTGATAGATCCTCTACATAATCCCTACTCCTTCTTGAGTTATTGGTTTGTTCCTTCGTCTTAGATAAAAAGAAAAACTTTAATGATAAAATTGCCCAAAGAACTCGTCTTGGAGTAACACCTTGATGTGGCTTGCTTTAAAAGCTCCCTTACGAATTAGCCTATTAGCATCATTGACGGTGTCTTGTATTGTGCGAACACAACCCCGACATATGGCGACAGTCCGTTTATCATCCCGTCGCCTCGGTGGCATGCACCTGATACCACCTCAGCGCGCTGCTGGCTGCACGCGCTCCTTTTTGCCGATCGGAATGTCTTTACATCATGATTGCTTCCCGAAGTTCCTCGTCACGCCTGTACGAGGATTTGTGGAACACTCAACAGATCCAAACAAGTGGCGTAACCCGGAAACTGCCGAGATTAAGCGGCAATATCGCGGTGGCATTCCTCTTGGAAGTGAAGCAATCCGGCAGCGAGAAATGGAGAAACGCTTAGTGGAGGAGGATTTTGTTAACTGGAACCTTGTGGTCTATGTAGCCATCGCTATGGTGCTGCTCTTGGTGGGACTCAATTTGGTCATGGAGTTTGTGGAGCCTGTGCCATCCCCTGAATACGTGCCGTATGAATATCCTCAAAAGGAAGAAGCCAGCGTCCACGAAACGAGTGTGTGTACCACTATGAGGGAGAGATAAAAAGGGAAGAGTGGAGCCAAAATCACGAATTCATTGCACTTTCTGAATGGATGAAGAGGGACGACGTTTTCGCCTCTAGCCTTTTCGATAGGAATTAGCGTTGGCATGCTGTTGGGTACTGTGACGTGAGGGGGTGTGCCGTTAGGTTTTCTGCCTGCCGCCTAAACCATCGTTCAGTGCCTCTCAAACAACTGAGTTTGCCTATGTGTGTGTTATCGTGGCAATATTTGTAGTGAACAAATAAGTTTCATTCTTTCATTCCCGTTTTCGATCGGCGAATCGAAAATGGTTATAATTTACGTCTGCCTTAGCTTTTTCTTAAACTTTTTAGTTTACCCATTTATGAGAGAACCTCGAGTGATAATAAGTTTAGTCAAAAAAATCAATTACATAGACATTAGTAAACAGTAGTACGACGTTCTATTTTCATGACGAAGAACTCAGACCCATCATCGGATGAAGAAAAGCCGCTTTCCCCTGAAGCACGGGTAGCACTAGAAGAAAGATTAGCTGCGCTTCGAGCACAAGAAGCGCAAAGGAGGGCGAGTGGACCTCAAATAGTCGAACACGCTACTTTGGGTGTCTCGTCTGAGGGAGCTGAACACCCCTCATGCGATACCAATGGTAACTGTATAGTCGAATATGAAGACTATAATGATATGTATGATGATGCTTTCATGCACTTTATTGAAGAAACGTTCCTCAATAATGAGACTAGTTCCTGGACAGATGAGCCTTTTGAAGAACATCTTCAGCAACTGCAAGGCGCTTCGGACACGTGCACACAAAGTCATAACTCTATCGGACGAAGATGTTTTCTCTCTCAAACGCGAGATTTCAGAGATTTTGAGGTGCTTTGGTTCGTGAAGTTTGGTGACATCACTTCCTTTCAGGATCAGTGTACGAACCAGGACATTACTATAAAAACCTTTTGCGACAACCAAAGCCGCAACGCGTTGCACTACGTCGCGGATAATGGTAGTATTCCTATGCTGGAATTGCTTACAACCCTTGGCGTACCGTATCTTCAAAGTGAAAAGGGAATGACACCGATGGATGTTGCAGTGCTCACAGACCAGTCCATTGAGTTCATAGCCGCGCTGAGTAAATTAGCAAGAAACGGTAATGAATCCCAAGGGAGTAACTCAATGAATGATGAAGGAAGAAAAACTTTTGAGGAGGTTCGAAGTAAGTTCGCACCGGAGCCGCCAAAATTCGTAATCAGTCGTCGCCCGCCTACACCCACCGTATTTACACAGAATGAATCTGCGCGATCCTTTTGGAAGTGTCAGATTACAGCAAGGAATGGAAAAAATGTTGTGTACCTCAACCTGGGTGCTATCGCAAAGGTGCCAGACACCGAGGCCGGGATACATCTAGTCGTTAGTGACTCCCGTCAGGGCGATTTAGCCGCTGGCGTCGGTTCAGTGGGCCGTCTTTATAGTGGATGGGGCCTTTCTCGTTTCCTCAGGCCGCTGGATCTCGTGGTAAAGGATGGTAAGGGAACGGGTATAAAGGGCAGTGTATCGAACACGCTTATTGTTCTGAACGCGGTCCCGTCGGGCAAGGTGCTGTCCAAAAATTTCGCACCAGACCTGCCTGTGGGTGTAATAGTGAGCATGGTCCTGCATGGTTATCTTGAGAGTGCTGATGCAGTCACAGACATGTCAGATAGCAGAGGAAAGTCTTTGTTTGCCGTGGCGGGTTATCTTGCCGTTGATAGAGCATATCAAAGGAAGCAGGTGGCGTCTATGCTGATGCGTGGTCTGGGAAATGAACTCTTGGTGCAACACGGCTGTACAGCACTGGCCTTTACCACGCAAACTCCGATTCCACAGTTACCGCCTTCAACCAGCATGGTCAAGTGGTACCGACGTGCACTCAATGCCAACGCAGTCTTCAAGGGCCCGTATGCAGAAGACATCTTCCCGGAATTCTACGAGGAGGACGAAGTGCTAAGGGCGGATTGTGTGCTAAAAGGTACGCTTGCGCCAACACTCCGAGATACCTATGCGGAAGCCCTTCAAAACTGGTGTTTTGTAGATGTCATGGATAAGAGCCAGACGCATGCCGTATTTGAATTTCTACGTAACCGCGGCAAAGAGGGGTTGGAGCTCGTGTACAAATGGGGGTTAGAAGAGGATCTCTGCCAGACCCTTTTGTCACCTGATGCGAAAGATAACCTTAAGTCATTGGTGCGACTATCAGGGAATAAAAATGCGCCAGAAGACTTTATCGTGTTCCGCTTGCGTCAGATGCGGCATCATAGAACTCGAACGTCTGATTCCACAACGGAGCCCAAAGTAAAGGAAGGGGTATCAGGGGGTCAGCGGTCGATAGTCGTCGTGCAGGTAGTGTATGCGCATTTTGCGGGGCTCAAGGGTGTGGAAAAGATGTCACACATTCTTCTCATAGCTCAATATCTATTCGAGGCGGATGTTTTGCTAGCACCCAATCTATTCGGTTTCACAGAGAACGATCTCGTCAAGAGCAACTTTGATGAAGTAACGATGTGGCGTGAGATGCTTTACGTTTTGATAAAAGATGAAGAAAAAAAGGGTGAAGGATCGGATCCTACAGCAACATTTTTACCGCCGATCCCAGCGTCGAAGATATCGGTCCCTGTTTTCTTACTTTAGTGACTGAATGAACAAGGTATTAATAAAAGAAGGACCAGAAGCGGAAACTTAATGGAAAATGCAGTATGTATGTATTTTTATATGTCGCATATCCAACGCAATCAGGTAGGCGAGTAAGAATAAGCCGTCTTCTTTCAAAAACAGTACCAATTGAAGATATTTAATTTGAATCGTAAATCTGACGCAAAAAAAATACATAGCACAAATACTAATAGTTATCTAGTTCGTCTGGTATAGATGCATATGAAAATACTTGGAATGGTCAAAAGCAGTATGCACAGACTAAACGTAATGTTTTTTGCATTCCTTCGCCTGTCATGCGTTTATAAATTTATTTTATTGCCATTTCTCGATGAGACAGCTTCAGTGTTGTCTGAAGAAGAGTGTATGCTATGCGAGACACTTTAGCGATAATCTTTTCAATTGCTACACTGAAGTCTATATATATATACGCATATATATATATATATATATATGCATGTGTGCATGTGAAAATGATTAGATTTTTAATATATTCGGCTATTCTAAAAATTATAAACACATCGTGGCAGATGTCAGAATCACACCTGTCGGCATGAGTAAATCTTGACCTTTAAATGCTATTAAAAATAAACAAGGTGTTTCTTTTTCCACGTTCTTTTTCTACTCGCTAAATACTTTTCATGCTTACTAGGGTGACCGGCGTGTGACTGTTAATTTCCACTACACAAGTGGAATTGTGCTTCTCCCCCTCTAAATTTAAAAAGTGTGCGACACAAAAAAGCGAACCATCTAAACAAGGTGTCTTAGCCAAAACACAGCGTTTCATGGTCTCGGTGGCGCTATGCGTCTAACCCGTTTTCCCATCCGCTATTCTGTAGGTGTGAGGACTTTTACGTACATCAAGCTTTTACCTAATCTCCCTCCTAGACAACCTGGACCACTCGCTCTCAGACTTAAGGGCAATTTTGTGGATCATCATACCTGCAGTGTCAGGTTCAAAGACAGTAACAATGCGACGAACCTGCATTGTCGAGGAGGAATAGGGAGCACCAGAAACGCTGTCATGATTGAGGCAGATCGTATCTCACATTTGTCCCTCTTTAAATTTGTGCTACTCCCTTACTTTAGGTTGCTTTCCAGCAATAGTGGGGTGCGGAAAAGAATGGTATGTCGTTTGGCGTGCCGAGGTATCACGATTTCAGCAGATTCCACAGTCTTACATACAACACGTTGCTGGCAGAGTATCAGCAACGAGCCGCATAGTGAAATCGATGCAATCCCGCTGGCTGTGGCGGATAATATCACAACGGAGGCGACAGCATTGACATCCAATCAGCAAGTTGGCCACTATGATATAGAGCAACACATAGCCGAGACGGAAGCCTTGTTACGCGAGGTATACGGCCCCCATGCCAAACTGGTGGTTCAGACACTCGCTCAGCAGCATCAGAAGCATCACGAAACCTCGGAACACTCCGGTACTGACAAAAATGAGGTATCGATGACAGTCCATGAGGCGGGCGAGGAAGTTAGTCAAAGTGGTTCTTCCACGGATATGGGGGCCGAGTCGTCACCTGTTCATTTAGAGCAAAGTATCTCTCACATAAGAAGGAAAGATGATCATTACTATCGTGTCTCAGCGGCCTTTCGTCAACTTGGTTTTCCAGTCGAGTTAGCGGCTACCAAAGGCCGCAAGCCCCAGGAGGTGATTGATAAGTGTCTCAAGCAAGCACTTAACAGTGATTTGGAGTTTATTCAGCCAAATTCACATAAACAGAACGTGTATTATTCACGCAACAGGTACTCACGTTCAAAAAACTTTACTCCCGAACAAAAGGGGCACTCTCACTCACAAGGTCGCCAAGCCCACAATCATGGGGGCAGGAGACAGCATGCGATGAATCCACATCAGCTGGAGCTCAAGGCTATTTTGGACGAGCTACGTCATTTATGCCTCTTCTTTAGTCGAAATTTGAAATTCTCCATCAGACCGTCCCTTCCCGGGACAGTTGAACTGTCGTCATCGCGACCAACGTCGGATCAGGAAGGTGGGGATGCAGTGGGTGATAACATCACAACTGCGGATCGTTGGCGGTGTCGTGCCTACGTCAAAAATGATTGGAGCGCAGTTAGTCGCACATTTCTGGCGCTTGAAACGATAAGCAGCTCGCCGAGTGAAGCCTTTTGGCAGTGTGTGGCTGAGCTACGAAAGCGATACAAAGAAGAGATGAATTCGGATGATGTGATGCTAGAGAGTGTGCGCGAGGTAGAGCTGGTAGAGCCGTCAGGCAGGCGTGTGGAGGCCACATGCGTGGAAGAGACAGACAAGGCCATGAATAACACTGACGGTGCGAAGGTTGTGACGCCAAACTCGCAAAACGTATGTGAAGAAACGCCAGACGAGGGGAAGATCGGTGACGCTGTTGGTGCAGATCTAGGCGAGGGCTTTGACAGTTTTGTGCACACCTACTGCGCCTCCGTCAAGATGGAAGACGAGTATGGTAATGTGACGGTGTTGCAGACGCGCCGTCAGCCAACACAGATTCAAGCGTACCAAGGCGCAGCCTTGCAAGCCATTCGTTCGAAGAGTCCGTGGGGACGTGGGGTACACCTGCTAAGCGAAAATTTAGCATCAACCCCACTGCTGCTGCGAATGCGCTGGCAATTTGATGCTATGGTGACCGCAATTGCAGCACTAACTGGAAAGAAGCCAGATGAAGTGGCCGAAATACGCCTCAAAGGGATAGGTAATTCGCTGTCAAACCAAGCGACACCGGATGGTACTCTCTTGCTATCGTCTTCAGTGATGCCTGTACATAGTTTTCCATCCGCATCTTCACCCAATCTATCCTTTAGGGCATCATTCTCATGCGATGGGGCACTTGTGTGGGAATCGACGAGTGGTGGGCGGTATCGAATTGAATTTGATGCCTATGTTCAGGCCCTGCATTATCTTCTTGATCAGTATGGAGATCTCATCGCTACATGGATACACAGAGGCGGGTCCGATGGTCCCGAGTATCATCTGGATGAGGGGAGCCATGGTAATGTGGCGGGTCTGCTTCGCATGGGTGACTCATGTGTGCTGTTTCCATCATCTGCCATGCTGCAGCTTGCGGTAGAGCTTCACGACCGCTTCAATATTCTAAAGAATCACAGTGGCAAGTGGAACTGCTATGCTCTGCTGGGAACCCTCACATCTCGGCTTCTAGGGTGCTACTATCAAACTTCTTATTCGTTTAATGAGGATACTAAGGAGTGGTGGGCAACGTTGACAGTAGATGACGGATTAAGGACCGATCAAGTGCTTATCCAGCGTTCCTCTAAACAGAAAGGTGAGGCCTGGCGTCTTGCCTGTTTGGCTGCCTTGCGCGAGAACTTTCCGCGACAGTACGAGGAGGTGATACGACGATATCCGGATGTTGATCTTTCGGGTGATACCATGTCCCGTAGCTCCCGGTTCCGCGCGCTGCCGCGTGAGAAGCGTATCCAGCACATTGGGAATCTCTTCTCCTTGGTATCAATTTTCGCAGAGGAGGACCTTGGGTGGACCCAACTGCGAATTCGTCTGCGGAACGCTTCTGGGGATATTGGCCTTCCACAGTGGATTGCCGAAATGGAGGCACAGGTAGAGGGTGAGGAGGGTCGGCGCGTGGTCGCGGTGTCTCCGTCCTATGCGCAGGTTCGGAATGCCCGCCGTGCACTTGTGTACCGTGTGGCCAAGGCCTACTTCCCGAAGGAATTGTCCATTTATCAGAAGCTGCAACGCAGCGATTCTCAGGACCCCGATACAGACCCTACGATACGCCGCGCAAGGCTATACCAAGTTGGTGGACCGCCCTTCTTGTGGCAGCTGTGCACGCTGCTTGGAAGTAAGCACCCAAGTTTAGAGCCCATCACATGGCAGATTCGACTGCGCCCCCGCGTGCATAGCTCCAACACAACCTTCGAGCAATCCACCGATTGTGTGGGGCGACAGCATGATGACTTCAACGCGAATGCTGGTGAGTTCTCTTCGCACCCGCCAAGTGACGAGGAAGTTGGGGAATGGCTATCTGTGTTGAGCGAGGGTAATCCTCTTGCGTTACTGGAGATTTTGTCATCCCCAGACCAGCTACATCAGCCCCTTGGTGCACACTTTACTTATGCTGCAGATGTGTTTGGTGCCAATGGCGATGTACTCATCACTGAATATCACGGTGGGCCTAGTGAAAGTGCCGTAAGTGTTTTGACAGCGGCCCTGAAAGCGGCATCCAAACAGTTAGGCGGCAGCGATGCTGAGGTGCTGTGGACAGAATTTGAAACACATTCTTGCCCTCCTATGAATCACCCGAAGGAGCTTTCTTTGTATCTATTTCACACCTTTTTCGGAGATAGTGGGGCAGCCTGGGGTCTAACCGATGACACACATCCGGTGACGGCATGGAAGTCTAACGGCGCAATAACCAAACCGCTTTCAGACAGCAGTGCAGGTCAGGGCGCTGAATCGAGCAGCAACAATGAGGAGCCGCTGATATCGTTGTCAGCGGCTCGAGAAGAGAATAACCGCGAAGCGACACCGACTGTCGCGAATGCCTCTGTACTCGCTATCAACACACTTCAGTTGGGGAACTATTGGGTGTCGACAGTGTGCTTGCGGCAGTTAGGCATGCTACCCATCGTGCGTGCCATAGCCGCTACTAAGCGGGGTAGCGTTATGGACGCCCTCACGCTGGCTGCGCGCCTCAGTTTCGCGCGCCCTCTGCGTGAGATGGCGAAACACCAACCGGCTGTGTCTGCATTGGCAACTGAGTTACTAACTGATCCTGTTGTGGAGAGATTGTCTGAAGTTGCGGTACAGGACTTGTTGACGCAGATAAATTACCAGCAGCGCGCTGGCCAGCGGAGGCTGTCGCCGTTCAAACTCCTATTGAGGTGCATGTACCGAGACTACAGGCGGCAGAAACGAATTCGTGCCCAGCAGTCTCAAGAGGCTGGCGGAGGTAGTTTTCAGTGCCGCCTCTACATACAGTCTGACACACGGCAGGTAAGAAAAGGGGACGTGCAGCTTGTAGGGTTCGGTTCTGCAATAAGCTCTGGGGAAGCGTTGAATCAGGCCTCTCTCATGGCCTTGAAAAACCTTTTCCCGGAGGACGCGGCTTCGGCAATGGGAATAGCTCCTGAATAGCTCTGTTTAAATGTTTGCATATTACACATAAATCGCTCTTTTATTATACCACACGACTCTATCCTTGTATTTTTTTCCACATAAAATTTCATTATTATTGCCATCCATTTTTTCTTTTTCTTTTTTTCAACTTGCTCAAGCAGTCTCTAGTGGGCAAAGGTGACCTCTTTCCTTTCACTCTGCTTTGTTTCTGGCCGTGAATGCTTATATTTCTTGTTAATTTATCACAATCACTCCCTTCAAAAACGAGTAAGGGGACACTACAATACTAATATTTTTTTTTGAAAATCAAAAGTGTATACATTTGCGCGTATGCATATGCAAAACTGGAACAATGGATGACATTGTTTTCCCTCCATGGGTGCTCACCTCTCCTGTCTTCGCATTTGCTTCAGTACTGGCACGCTCGATTATCAAAGAAACGTATCTGAAGGACAGCTCCCTTCAGAATAAACTCTCGCCGCAATTCACACGAAATCAGCTCGACTTTGGGGAATCTTACCATGATAGTGAAGCGAATCCATCAAACGTGATGATGTGCCCGAAGGACACCGTTGCCGGAATGATCAGGCGCTCAAGTGAGGAAGAGGATGGCAGCGATATCTCAGGCATCCTTTCCACTTCGTCCGCCTTTGATTGTGACACGCTGAGGGAGCGGTGGGTGAAGTTTGTGAATCGGACGAGCTTCTCGGATCACTTTATACACGGTGGAGTGGAGCAGAATGGGACAGCTTTGGGTGAAGCGTCACTAAATCGTCTTCTGAGCACACGCCCTGCAACACTCAGGGCCACATTACCAGGTACAAATCATGCAGACTGCTTTTCCACCAATCTGACCAACGTCACCGGTATTCTACACGATCCACGTGTACAGCGTTTGATGCGACTTTCGTGTCTGAGTAATTTTGCGCTTTGCAATGCGCATAGCAAGGAGATGGCAATATCGGCCAAGCACGCGGCCGCCATCACTGCACTAATGGCTTTCACGGTAGAGTGTCGGTATCTGCCCAGTGCCGTTTCTGCGGGGTTCTATGTGGAATGCAGCTCCTTGTTCAGTACCTTCGTGAGTAGATTGAGAGATTACAACTTTTGTGAAGGTGTAGACATTAAGGGTTTCGTGGCCGCCATCATCGCATGTGGGCTTTGCCTGCGGAATGAGGATTCGCGCATCTATAACAGTTCAGACAACAATAAAAGTTGGGAGTCTTTAGATGATAGCGGAAGGGATGCTAGGCTGTTTGGGTTTGATCCCCGTATCATTGACAACGCAATCCTGGCGTGTATCCCAAGTTGTATCGATGAGGGCGTTAGTGATCCGATAATGCTGGGCGCACTTCAGGGTCTTGCTTCTACTTACTCCCACATCCCACGCTATCTCGGCCCTCCCCTAGTTAGTCGGCTACTTCAATTGACGGATGAATTTGTGCAGACGCCGCATCGTCGCGACCTACCTTACAAGAGGCTCTTGTCGCGTTTGCTGGAGGCCATGACCGGATCCAGAGTCGTCGACTACAAACACGTCCACGGTTGGGTCACCGCGACAATTCAAAAAAATTATATCGTGCGCAGCCTCTTTCAGAAGGAGGATTTACATTCTAGGGTGGTTACCTCCGTGTTGACACTGCTTATCCGGCAATACCAAGAGGGGGTGATGAAATACCTTAGCGCAGGCAACAAGAAGGAAGATCTGCCAGACTTTAGGGAAGGAAACAGGGCCATCGATTTGGTTTGGAAAGCGCTTCAGGAAGCTATGGCCATTTGGAAAGAAATATCGGCCAAACCTGTCACATTGTACGGCGCCAATTTGCGTGGCCTAATCGAAAACTTACTGCGCATGGAGGTAGAACGGTTACGATGTGCTCATCTCCTCAAGGACTCACAGATCGAGACGGAAGTCAGTTTCAATGCTAGAGCCTCGTCTGGCGTGAATATTGGTGTAGAGTGGCAAAGAAAGCTAGGTGCTAGTTCAACATCAGAACAAGCTTCTTCATTCGTGCTACATAGTCCAGACGCTATCCTTAGCCATATGAAAGCGGAGGGCTATACACCATATAGCCTTTCTGACAATGAGGAGCAGCTTCGCGTTCGCATTCTCTCCAACATTGTGAGTTTCCTTTTACTACCAACAAGTATTATGAGCGTCATTCACAAAAGTGACGCACAGATGCGTCAGCTGCGCAGCTACTTGGTGGGGCAGTGCACTAGTGTGATGGCCATCGTATCCTCTGCGATACCCATCATCAATGAACACGCGAACCACGAGCTGCCCTACCCCTTGACAAATGATGAAGGGTCCACGGATGCGTGTGGTTACCGCTTCCCAGAGGTGGGGTGTGACACAGGGGCAGCTCCGATGCCGTCTGGTTCTCAGAAACAAAATGTCCAGTTGTCTAATTGGTACTACCACAAGGTAGCTATCATCACCCGCGAACTGACGCAGATAGTGATTTGCATCGGTGGACGACCTGGCGGGACTTCCATTGCTAGCCATCCCAATGCTGCTTGTGCTTCCAATACATTGTTTGGGACGGGGGACGCCGATACGATTGAAGCTGCCGCAGCATGCCTGCAGTGCATGTGCTCCAATGACCCCACCATCTGCTCCTTCGCGCTTTCGGAGGTCATGGATGCAATATTGCACGTGTTGTCGCATAAAAAAGATACCAACGAGTGTAATCAAACAGAACTAGAGAACGCGAAACAGATGGCCCATCGACTCACTCTTTGCTTAGACACGCTGGCTAGTATTGTGGTCCCAATGCACTATTCCTTGACACATTCAGTGCAGCGCGGTGAGCTCGCGCGCTACGCCCAGCTGCTCTGCGATACATATGAAGATTCCCTTCGCCAGGTCCTCGTAGACAATGAAAAGAGAGACACTGGTGATGGGAAGGCATGTACGCGGAAACTTGATGAGGCTAATGCGTCATTGGGAGCGCTGATCATGAGCCTTCCCACCCCTATCATGACGGCGGCGGCTGATGGCTACTGGAAACTAGTAGCTCGCATGAGTGAGCGGCAGCACGTTATGGCGTGTGATGCGACGAAACATCTCAGTGATGATAACGGCACAGGCGATGGGAATGTTCGAGAAAAGAAGATGCGTTATTTGAAGATCCTTAATGATGAAAGTGAAGATTTGGTGTTGTTTATTGAAGGAGCAATGCGCTGTATGCTCAACATAGCATGGCCAGGCTCGGGAATTATCTATCAGCATCCACCACGCGGCGCCAGTCTTGAGCCAGAGAATATGGCAGAGCTTGCTTTGGCATGCATTGGTCAATTTCTGAAACCTCTTTGTCTACTTTTTAACCTCGTGGCGCTGTTCCCAATTCGTTCGCCGCGCGATGGCATTCTGGCACATGCTGAGAAAACGCGGTGCATCGCCCTTGAGGATTATCGCGAGCAGCACATTCATTGGTACGTCTACCGCCCTACCAGGATGGAAGCCGCGACGTCGCAGCCCGGTAAGGACAGCAAGGGGAGTGCTGCGGCTTCTTCAGCAGCGAATCGCCAGGGCCACCAGGTGCACCATCTTCCCGAGTTTCGATCCTGCTGGCTGCTCCTGACTTACTACGGCTTCACTTCCGAAGCGCTTGCGCTCACAAGGGCGCGACTGTGCAAAGGAGATCACACAAAGCCGCACCACGTAGGAAAGGGGGGCTACCTCAGTGAGGCGCAGGCACGACATATTCGACTGCTCGCAGTCTCGGCAGCCCCACTTCTGCAAATGCGATCCTTGGACATGCATCAAGCTATCGTTGACATCAACGTCCTGCTTCGCTATATGGGGAACGACTCAGGCTTTACCAACGACAATGCACCCCTGATTCGCCGTCGACTTGACCATATCTTGTGCTACATGTGTGGGGATAAGCGCTGTTGGAATAAATTAAGACCGAGCGAAGTGTTCTTGATGCATGCCTTAACAAATCTGGAGATGCTGCGTGCCTCTGCCGGATTTATCTCGAATTTGACGCTATATCATTACTTCGACGCCTACGAGTTTGTTGCCTTGCCGGCCATTCGTAGCAAGCTCCAGCACATTGTATCGGCCAGCTCCAAGATATACCTCGACGCCCTCGGGACCTTCTTGCCAAATGTGGCCTATCAGCTTGTGTCCAAGGATATATATCAACTGGTGCTTCTGCTAGGCTTTTCTCTGGCTTCAGTGAGAGAATCTGCGCGCATAATATTGCGCATGATTATCGGAGCCCTTCCGGCCTATGCGACGTGTGGCTCAGGGCTCCAGTTGCTGTGGTCTATCATTAACTTAGTTGAATGTGGCAGCGCTTCAGACATTGTCGAGTTTTGCCGGAAAGTGCACCTCAGTGAAGCACCAGCAATCTTGACGGAGGTGAATAGCAACGACCGGCATAGACACTTGCGCATGCTACGGGCCGAGGCGGGGTGGTGGATGCGTGAGGCCGCTGACAAGGCCACTCTCGCGCTTTCTCACACCTCTCTCAGATACATTGAGAGTGAAAATCTTCCAACAGGGTTCATGTTGTCCATGAAGAAAATTGCCAACTTCTATTTGGTGACCCCGGCCTCCACTCGGCAGGAGAATGCATTGAAAAGAAGGGCCGCCCGTCGCCAATACAAGTCGTTAGGCTTCTCGAGCGGCATCGACTACCTCGCGATTGCTGGGGAAGACTTGCACAGCTACGTCCAGGCGTTTATCAAGCACAATAGCGCGAAGGAGCAGGTGATTTTTGCGTTACGCACGTCACCGATTCACGTGGTCGAAACGCGCATTCTAGGGCAGCTTTGTGAGAGGATTCAGCACCGCCTGCGGCTGACGGGGGCGAGTAGAATCCCTAAGAGCATCTGTGATGCGAAGGACATGGCACGCAGACGGAGCGGGGCAGCGAATCAGCTGCACGAGCTTGACTCTCTAATGTGCTTGGCTGTGGCATTAATGACAACCAGCTTTCTCAGCCCGAGTGGTACTATTCATTTTTTTCGCTTTTTAGTACAAGGCCCAATCGAGATCTTTGAAAGTGACATTCTCCGCGCGGCGATTGGGTGCTGGAGCCGTTTGCTCGCTAGCGACTGTAACACGTTCGTGCTGCCGCTACTTATCCAAATCGCGAAAGGCGTGGTGTGGACCGTGAGCCGAAAGAAGGGTCTCTTTGATGGGGCGCGCCCAAGGCAAAACGAAGAGGTGCAGACTGCCACATGCACGGAGGCGTCCGCTGCAGCGCACGTGCCGTGTACCCATAACTACAGTCGTAACTCCCCGCACACGCTCCTCTTCATCTTCTTGTCAGACACTTACCTCAACACAGAGTACCCATGGGCTCTTGATCGTTCGATTTTACTGACATTGTATCATATGGCAACGCATATGGTCGAGTACCCATCGCGTCTGTCCCTGAGGGACTCCTCCTTCGCGGACACGATGCATGCGGCGGTGCTGCTCGGGAAAATTTGCTTCACCCTCCATGACGTGAGTATCCAGGGCCAGAAAGAGGCTTTGGTTGGGATGATACCCTGTGAATCTATTGGGGTACTACGCCAGCGCTGGTACACCTGCCTGCTCCAGTGGTTTCAGTCGAGTCGCCCATCGTGGTATTTCACTGATGACCCACCACAGGCTCTCGAAATGATGAATGTACTAGAATCCCTGATTCGCCTGTTAGAGAAGGAGCACACCCTTCTCACTCACAGTACCAGTGGTTTCCTGAGCTTCGACACTTCCACCGCGCGTCGTAACCCCAAGCCTGCGACCTATTCATGCGCTTCTGGCGGCAGCATCTGGGACATGTCCCGCATTGCGCGTGACCACATCGAGGCCTTACGCTTACAGATCGATACCAGTGATGTGCACCAGCTTGTAGATCAAGAGCAAGCACGTCTGCTGGGTCTCCTGAAACTACTACAGGTCCTTATTTGGCATGAGCTCATTCGGCTGAAAGTGTGGCAGACACCGCGGCGTACACTCCGCATCACAAACGCTGGCATGATCTCAGCGACGGGAGTAAATATGACGCATGGTGTAGAATGGTCATGGGGGATGCTAGTTCAGGTCGCGGCGCAACACGATCCTGCTGTTTTAGTGGCCATGGTGGCGCGATTTCCAAGTATTCTTTGCGTGCGTGCGCTCGCATCGCAGTATGTGGTGCAATCCCCGGAGAGATACGGCACCATCCCTGAGGCTGTTGACCTGTACCTTACGAAGGAAACCCTGGACGCAGGAGCACCTGGGCTTCGGTATTTCGTGAACTGTAGTATCATTCAGGCGCTGCGTCTCCTCGATAAGCGCTACATATGCTACCCGTGTGTGACCTCCTACGCGATCCGCAGTCTTCTCGCACAACCAAGCGACAACCTCATCTTTTACCTGCTCCAAATTCTACAAGTTCTTGCAGGCGATGAGAGTGGTAGAATCCAGTCATTTCTTACGCGCATGTGTGACAAAAGCACCATGTTCTGTCATCAACTCCTGTGGGCGTTGCAGACAGAAGGACGTGGAGACAGCTCGTTGGCCACGAGATGCAAAGGGTTAAGCCTGGTAATTCAAGGTAGGCTCAACGAAGTCGCACACACTTTTTACATCAACGAGTTCAATTACATAAGCCAGCTGACGTCCCTTTCCGGGGAGTTGGTGAAGTTTGGGAAGTCTCAACGTAAGCCGAACCTTCGACTTCGCTTGCAGGGCACGGCCTTTCACGATCCTATCGCGCACCAGCATCTGTACCTGCCGATCGATCCAAGCTATCGTATTGTTGAGGTTATCCCCGATACTGCAGTTGCTCTGCAAAGCGCAGCCAAGTGCCCCATTCTCGTTCAGTTTCGCTGCACGCGACGTGGGCTTGAAGACATCCAGCCTCCATGCAAGCCATTGAGTAAAGAGGGGAGCCCTGCTCATGAGCGACTCTGCGCGACCAGTCACACTGAGGAGCCGGGAAGGAACAAGGAAGAATCTGTGCTAAAGTCCTGCATTTTTAAAATGGGTGACGACTGCCGGCAAGATCAATTGTCGTTTCAACTTATTTGCTTAATAAAGCGTATTTTGGACACGATAAACGTGCCATCTTTCCTGCATCCATACCGCGTCCTGACTACCGATCATGATTGTGGCATCATCGAATACGTACCACGAACGATGAGTCGGAATGACATTGGAAAGTTAGTCGAGTCAAACATTGCTGAATACTTCGTGCGCACTTTTGGTCACCCTGAATCTGTCGGCTTCAGTCGTGCACGTGATAACTTTCAGAAGAGTGTGGCATCCTACTCGGTAGTTTCGTACATTCTGAACATCAAGGACCGACACAATGGCAACATTTTAATTGATGCTGAAGGTCATGTCGTGCATATCGACTTCGGCTTTTTGTTCGACTCCTCACCAGGTGGTGACATAAACTTTGAATCCTCACCTTTTAAACTCACGACGGAGATGGTGCAGCTGATCGGCAAAGATGTCGGCTTCAAATCTAACTTGCGCAGTTCCTCACTCGCAAAGGCTCTTATCGATCCCGAGCGTTACATCCTCTTTAAGGAGCAGGTGATTCGATGCTATCTCGCTGTGCGTCAGTACAGCGCTGAAATATGTACCCTCGTCGAACTGATGCTGCATAGCGGCTTGCCTTGCTTCAAGCCCCCAAAAACGATCTCGGATCTGAAGCGGCGGCTCGCGGTCAACAAGGGAGAGATTGAGGCCGCGCACTTTATGCGCTGCCAGATTCACGAATCCCGTGAAAATTATCGCACAAGGTTGTATGATACTTATCAGCACTTGGTGGAAGGGATTGAAATGTAAAAAAAAAGGAGGGGAAAGAGAAGAAAGTTCACGGCGACAAGGGCAGGGGTGTTCAGGTCCTCCTTTCCCTTCTCTCCACCCCCTCCCCCTCCCCCCCTCCTCTCCCCTCAAATACATTGAGTAAAAAAGACCATGGTGAGGAAAAAAAAGAAACAATGAAAAAGAAAATGATCAGCATGTCAAATTTGCTATCTGTCGTACCGCCGACATCCTTGCATAACATCAATGTAAGCTTGCATAAATTAATGAGACGAGGAAATCCCGATATTGTCAACTAAAGATTTCTAAATATATGCGCAATTTGGGCGCCGACTGAGGTGCTTATGTGTCCCTCCTCACTCTCGTCTGCAACTGTGTCATGCGTGTGGATGTACTTGAGGATACTTCGCTTACTACTCTCTTGTAGCTCCCCAGCTAGGATCACCTCGTCAAGCAAAAAAAAAGAACGATGGAAGTTGTAAATCAAGTCCAATTCGCAAACATTCTCAAAATATCTATCAAGTACTTCGACAAAGTGGTGTATTATCTCGAGCGTAATCAGTTCATTATCACCATGGTCCACACCCGCGATAAAGTACAGTGAGGCGTATCGACGACAAATAAATTTGTTCCCATGTACCTCAGCAACGTTCGACATTCGAAGTGAGCGTCCCAATGCAGCCTGGGTGACGTCGCGAAGTATAGCAGCCCTTTCTTTCCGAGAAGCTGTGATATACCACTTCGCCAGCCGGAGACGGCCCTGGCGATTCATTAGGAAAAGGTACCTGATCATCTCTTTAATCTCTACAGGATTCAATAAATGTGAAACTGTCTGTCTACTTTGCCATTACAAGCGATAATATTTTTTTTTCGAGTTGCAAAAGAAGAAGAGACAATAAATGGCAAAAAGTGTTAATAGCGAAAAAATTACGACCAAGATACAAGTGTTATCAAAAAGTGGAAAAAAACATGATGCCGACAGTCTGCAATTATCTTTCTGTGTGTAAAAGAAACGTGTAAGAGGTCTAAAGCTGTGGAAAAAAGGAATCTATCCGTTTGAAACAACACGACGGATCCTCGTGCGAACAACTTCATTCATGTCACACCTTTGACCCGTAAAAGCATCGTTATAAAATAACATCCCGTCCATGTATTGCAGCATTCCCCAATTCGGCAAATTTGGAGTGACTTCCGATCGCCCTGCATAGAACGGCTGTCCAATCGCCCAAGCCTTACGAGCCTGCCTCAGCTGCTTACACCCGGTTGCCGTGACGACTTGCTTAGGTAATTTCTCAGTCTCCCCCTGCTTCTTGTCGCATTTCCTTTTCTTTCCTTTTTTTCTTGGCTCAGGCGAGGTGTTTGGGCGGAAAACTTTACAGTTGCCGAAACGATACATGGCAGCCTCGGCAAGGCCTTCTTCTTCACGAAAGACACCCTCCACACGGACAACATACTCAGTCATTTTGCAATCAATTATCTCAGCAATCAGTAAGCGGGCTGTGTGGGCTGCAAGCACAGTGATTAGGCCGCTCCTGTCTGCTAGCTCGGGCGCCGCAATAGCTGCTGGTGGGTCTCCGCTGTCCGGCTCGAGGGCCCAGCGCAGCGTCCCCAAAAGCGCGCGGCAAAACATACCCTTAAAACTGTAGGAAATTATATCGTCTGAAGCCTTCTCGCCCGCGCCGTCGTCAGCGTCGAGTTCAGACGGAAACCCGCCTGCGAATGAACGAAAATCGCTATCATTATCACTATACGAAGCCGAATTCTCCTCCATGGAGGCCGTCGCTGTTGTTTGCAGTTTCGACGAAGGGGCTCTGCGTGACTGGAGCAACCCCGCTGGCACCAGAGTCTCCATCCGGCACAGATCAAACACCGTCTCGAAATTGTAGCTGGCGGCTATCATCTGCGTGAGGCACGAAACATCCTTGGCGTCAGCGAGGGGAAATAGCTGAGACAAGGGCGAGAACTGCTCTTTAAACAGCACTAATGCGCCGATGAAGCTCGCATGGTGAAGAATACTTGTGGTGAGTTGAATAATGCCGCAGGACATTAAGTACTGCAAGCAGGCTACAAGCTCATACCGTCGAGCCCTGCACCCTTGATCGAATGCTCTGAAGGCGCACTCTAGCGCCGAGGGGGTGGAGGAAGGGCAACTAAAACTTGACCCCTGCGGAGTATTGGGTGCTTCTCTAGAACGTGCAGAACGACAGAATACGTCATCAGCGTCCGCCCAGACTTCGCGCGGGTCCCACCGACGTTCGTAATGTATTAGAGCGTCATAGAACATTTCCAGACAGATGTGTTCACGTTTGCCGACGTGTTCATTCCATATATTAAGGGGCTCTACACAGAGTGAGCACCAATTTGGTGTCCCATTCCAGACACGTTGGCCTGGGGAATGATGGCGAGCACTCGCGCCGCTTGGTTTGCTACATGTGCCACTGGTGGCGGCAAGCTGAGTTGTAACATTATCCATACAGTGCTTCTCGTGTTTGCTGTGATAAGCATCTGGTGCTGGGGAAGCGGACAAGCTTGGTTTAGAAATAAGACTCGCTCGCCTACCTACATCACAGGTAGGTGCCTGGGCTTCTTGCCGAAGCGTTGCGTCGGTGGCATAAGAAAATCCACGGAGCACCCCCCGCGTGTGGGGTCTACTAGTAAGGGCACTGTATGAAACTGCTGTGCGATGGAAAAGGCGTAAGCGAGCGTGTAAAAAGAACATTAATTTGCGTAACAACCCTCACAAAGTCAATGTGTAACGGTGTGTAACACGTGCCAGCACCATACATCCTAGAAAAAAAAAGTGAGAGAAAGAGTGGGAAAAAATTAAACAGGAGAGAAAAGGAGAATTCAAATATTCTAGTTAACCCAAACCATCTACCATCAATACGTTTGGAGCTATTGTCGTATGCACCGATGGGGGCCCACATCGCGCCACGACATCTGCCAAGGGGATTCTGAACAGCCTTTCCGACGAGGGTCGCAGCTACATGGACTGAAATCCAAAGTTTCTGCTCAGGACGCCACACTTCTGACCTGAGGGACGAGCACGTGGGTTGCCTCTTCCGGGAATTGCTCGAAACATCCTTTGACACAGATTTCTCAAGACCCTATCCCTGACCTACTTGTCGAGGCCACAGCCTCCCAATTAGGCCCGCAAAGGGGAGATACCGTACTTAAACATCCCCTTACCCTGAAATATCTAATTCTGTCCACATGGTAAAGGTGACCAGCTCCAGGACGTCGCTGGCATACTTTTGCCAGATTTGTATAAAACGATTTCACAAAAGTATACTAATGGATGGACCACCTGTGATGAGGAAGTTGAAAGTCTGAAGACACTGGAGCTTGTGGACTCTCTTGCTTCCCTCGCTAGCTCCATCCTTTCACTAGCTCCTCTCGTGCGATAGGACAACCTCAAGGCAATCCATTCTCAGGATCGACGTTCGAGATGATGCAATCCAAAGTCACTTGGTAGCCAATCACTTGCACGGCATCACATATGCACGTGGACAGCGTTTTATACTTTGTCGAACCTCTCCTGAAAAGCTGTTTTTGTCAGAACATAGAATGTGTTACTACTCGCACAACCAGCTGTGTTACATGTGGACATTCTCTGCTTGTGGTTGGAAACACCTCGACTGTTCACAAACGGTGACCCAGCTCAACTCTGTAGTCACGCGTCTCGCCACAAGCTTTGAGGAGCCGTAGGGTATATCAGCAATGATTATGTATCTGTTGAACAGTAAAGGCTCCAACAAAGCATTGTTGATTTTCCATCTCCTCCTTGCTGATCGCCGAAGGGCGTCCACATAAAGTTATGCGCAGCAAATAGCAGCGCTAGAGAGGGGTTCCTAAGGTTGCGTTGGAGTGCCGAACACGATGCTTCCTCACTCCACAAAGACGTTTGGAATTAGACACAACAATGCCGCACATTCATTAGGAAAAGCGCTCCTCACTCTCTCTTGACATGTGATTCCCTCAGCTTTGACCACATTACGTCCTTCCAAATAGTTGCATCGGAACACGTTTAAAAATTTCAATCGGAAGTTAGTATAGTTGGCGAAATCCATCCCTGGGGAGACACCAATTAGATGGCCTATAGGCCCAGCAAAAGTCACCCGCACAGCAGTCATCCAATTGCTTGTTGTCAATGGCTAGTCTAGCCGAGCTTTTTCTTGAATGTACTCCGCAATCCATGACCTTTTCGCCTTCTCCAACAGAGCGTAATCCTAAATGGACGTCAATTCAACTCTACCGATAGTGGTATGCCATTCTTATCAACTCCCTATCAAACAGAACTTTTATTTCTGGCTGGTGCTTTACCTTAAAGGGTAAGAAAAAAAGGAAAATAAACATGAATAACTGACATTATAACGTCATTTCCAAGGAATATTAATGGCGAAAGCTACTAAACGGAATTTTGTAAGTGGCCTTTTAATTAAAACAACATGACATGTGGGAAAAAAATGAAGGCCCTCCCAAAAATACTTTCTTTAGGTCCCTTCGTTTACGATTCCGCAGCTACATATGATATTCACTACGTACATGTAATAATGTTTTCTTGGAGAAAAGGGAATTCAATCAGCATTAGAGCAAACCAAAAAATATGCTCGCTAAAGAATACATGAATTATCAAGTACTTTGAAATCACACCTAATTAGACAATTTTAATAAGAAAGTGTATCGATGTTTATCTGTTTAATAGTGTTCATTTTTGTATCCCTTTGACTCTATACAATACTCTGTTAGTAGTAACACTAACAATCGCAATAATAATAATAATAATAGAAGGGATACTACAAAAAAAAATACATAAATTTAAGTGATTTAGTGCGTTATGTTTATGTTAGAAATCTTTTGACGTCTGATTTGAATGAGTGCAAGACGAGCGAATTTATCTCCTCTCACGGCAAAAAAATATCTTGATATGTTGTACCCGAGACATTATTTTAAGAAGGTTCATATTATGTTTTTTGAATGTCGGCATAGACTTTTAAAGACGATTTGCAAATATACTACGAATATTCCGCATGGAGTTTGTTTCTATATCCGGCAAAGATTAAAGTCAGTGTTCAAAAGGAAGGAATACAAATCTGGATTATGTCGACACATGAGACACGACATAGGTGAACGCGCGTAGTCCTCCTTTTTCTATTTTCTTCTGAGCTTATTGTTGTGTTCAAACAAAATAACAACGATATTTTGTATATAAAAGATCTCATACCGTGCAAATACAGATCAGCCCCTCTTGTAAAAGACATCATCCACACACACCTGGAGGATAATGAGACAAGTAGGATGAGGAAAGAATGTAAAAGGAGAAGGAGTATCACTTTCCTGTTTAAGGGGTGTCTCCTTACAAAAATAAAGGAAAAATAGCTCGAAGTCACACTAAGTCTCCTAACACCGTTTATATCACTTTTCATCAGGCATCAAAAATCAAGTAACCTAAAATAAAACCATTTTGTCAATGTACCGCATATGTATGTAAATATATATGGATATATGTAATCCTAAAAAAACAGCGGTCAAAAAAAAATAACTGAGCAAATTAGTACATCATCCTCCATACACAGATGACTGTTATAGGTCATTATTTGAGCCCTTCCTAAACGTATGAATCAAAGCCATACGCCAACTTGTTATCTTATTAACACAGTGGTAACACAAATAATCTCACAGGACTCCCGTACCTAAGGCACGGGACGAATTCCCGTCAAAATATTCAACTTCATTTGGAATACGAGTAACACAAATTCGAACTGTCAACACTGTCGTCATCCTCACAAAGGGTTCTCGCTGGGGTCTCTATCACACGCAGCTTGTCGTTAATCCTCATAATGCATAGCCTTAATTGAATTATGCAATGCACTTCCGGTACGTATAAGCAATGGGAAAAAATGTTAGAGGCAACGGGGAGACTTTTTTGCGGCTAACATTAGCCAAGGCACATCCGGATCATCCAAATATGGTTGTAGGGGTTCAATATCCGCCTTTTCCTTCGTCTTCAATATGCTACTTATCCCGAGTAGGCTATTCCGTTTAAGACTCCCACAGGTGCTCCTCTTCGCACCCAGAAGGTGAGAAATGGCACCTGATGGGGTGATGTCCTTCCCATTCTGTGAACTGGATGAGATCGAAGTGCACCCTTTGAGTGCACAAGGGGTGCCTCCGACAATGGCTCCGTTTCTCACGGTCGTTTGCATCGCAGAAAAAGACGTAGCCGTCGCAGAGGCGTTAGGTGAGAACATCGCCCGTCCACTCCGCAGAGTTGATAGAGATTTGCAAGAAAGCGACATCTGCGGTGATGGGGATGGAACGCACGTCATGCTACTCACACTCGTGTAGGGGTGGTAGCATGGGAGTAAGAGACAGCTGTCGTTATCATCTTCCAGAGCGATATCGCTCACGGCGTATGACTCGCAATAATTGAAGGCATCTAATACCGCGTCTGTTGGCATGCTCTCCGTTGCCGAAATGTGTGGTTCCACCATCCTGCTTGAGTTCACCACACCCATGGCTGGGGGGGAGAGGCAGGGGATGAATGTCGATTTACCAAAAGGAATGGAAGAGGAGGAGGTTAATCCTCGCGGGTGGTGGCGGTTCTCCGTCTGAATACACGCTTCGTGTGATGGGAAGTGTTCTAAAGTGTTCAATGAACATGATAGCAAGGAAGTGAGCGACTGCTGCCGCGCGTGAGAAGTGGGATACAAAGGCTTGTATATCGACTCTCTGGCGTTGAACTCTCTTGGCATTGAAGAGGGGGATTTGACGCAGACTTCAAGAGAGATCGTTGAGATTCCATGTGTGTCCCTTTTTAGGATGCTCTGAGAAGTAAGAGAAATTTTATCGGCTACATCTTCAGGCGCCTCTACCTCCACGGATGATGCATGGGTAATTGCGCTACGGTGTTGGCAAGGTATGAACTCGATGAGCGCAGGAGTATCCGCGTCGTCGATTGTAGGCACTGCAGCACATGAAAGTATTTCCGCGCAGCCGCTCTCCTCTCCTTCGGAATCGGATAAGGTCTCTACAAACGATACCACTGCTGGCTTCACCCTAGCAGGAGCAACAATACCCTTTGATAAGCCGTTTTTGTTGCTGCGTACACTGTTAGCACGCTCCCGATTTGCGATGTTGCCTGTTGGCACAGCACGATACCCTGGAATATTAATAGCTTCTACTTCCAGAGGAGCATCCAAAAGAGTGGTTAGCTGCAGATCGTTGCTGCAACTCCTCTTCATCGTGAATTCATCGTGTGTATCGGTCGCCTTCGGATTAGTCAATGGCTCCATAAATTTGACATCCAATGATGACATATAGAAATGCGGAATTGCGCAATCCTCGACAGTTCCCTCACTTTGACTTTGAGTTAATGTCGCGATGGGCTCTAGCGTCGTAGAGACAAGATCCTGTGTCGTAGAGGAAAGAATCAGAGGTTTTTTTGAAGGGTCAGGTACGTTCGGCTTGTTACCAAACATCGAGTTGTTGTTGATCTCACTGGGCTGACAAATACCCACATGCGTACAACATTGGAGTAAATTTTCTGCCTGACAACTACTGCTCACATTTCTAGTCTTGGAGACGACAGGGTCAATACCGATGACAGAGTTTTCTGTAGACTTACAATCTAAAACAATATAGTTGTTGCCGCAATTGTTATGGGTCGAAGAGGCATCGAATGTCATTTTAATAACCTTTTGAAGCACCGTATTTACAAATATCAATGATAAAATTGGTATACGAAGGGGTAAGGCTAAGCGGCGACGATTTTCTATTCGGAGTATATTGATAAGCAGATGGATAAACGAGAGGATGTAAGAGGGTATAGAGTAATGATCATCAGAATATTTTTATTTCACTGTTGCAAATTGTTCGAAAGGAGTTTTATACGTCTCTCTAGATAATTAATATGACAGATTATTATTTTATTAGACGATTTATCTGGTTTAGTATTAAAAGATATCCAAGAGATACCGAAGGAATGTGTGGGAAAACTTAACTTATATATGCACGGCAAATGTTACCCTTGTCGTCAACCTGGATTTTCCCCACCTCAATAGCTGTATTCAATGCGTGCCGAACCGATTTCGCGATACGCGCAGTGTATCGGTGCACCAACTCCTTCGATAGATCCTTCGGCCGCATGGAGGCTCGGTCGGAGTGTTCCTCCAAAATATCCGCCACGATATCCGCCATCTCGGAGGCGCTACCAAGCACAAAGGCAGGTACGATACAGTCAGTTGTCGACGTCGAAGACGAAGAAGGCATCTGCGAGGTCTTCTCTGTTCGAGTCTCTGCTGCTGTAGGCAGGTTATCTCCATATTTGGAATCTTTACGACGGTCATCAAAAGAAGTAGGTGAATTTTCTTCGCGAAGTCGCTTTGTCAACTTTGGCGACAGCTCAGTCTCCAGTTTTGCGTCATCGTCGACATGCCTTTTTTTTTTTGCTTCATTGTGGATGACGAGGTGTTCGACTTTTTCGTATGCACCCAGTCACTGTCATCGCTATCGGAATCACTCAAGTTATTCATCCTTGGTCGCGGTGGGTGCAGTCGCTGCCTCGCGGACTTGTCATCGCCGTCGCTATCGTCACCCCGCTCCTGTGGCCTCTTAGGATTCCCATTCACAGAGCACTTTTGCTTCCATTGTCCTTGGTACTTATCGACCTCAGTGATGCAGGAAGTGTGGTGCTTAACAGAGTTCAAGTCAAACAGCTCCATACAATCCACACAGGTAAAACTAGAGGACCCGCACGTGTTGGAGTGGCCAAAGACCTTGGGTTTCTTAACCACATCCTGGCATCGGTTGCACGTGAAGGAGACCATCCCTTGTGTATCCTTCTCCTAAGAAGTCGAAACAACAGCAAAAGAGACCTTTGAAAACTGAAACGGGATGTTTTAGTGAGAAAAGTGTTTGATGGTAGAGATTAAGAGATACGGAGAAAAAAGGATAAGGGGTTAAATGGGTTGAGTACGAAAAAAAGTGAAATGATATTTGTAGCATGAACAAGGCCTCAAGATGGACACACATGCTACTTTTAAGAACCCATTATGTCAACAAAGCCATATATAGTTTTTGTTTGGTTTAGTTTCATTAGGGAAAAGTGAAATAACACGCATCTAGAAATACTAGTAAACTGTTCGTAAACAGAATCAAGCATTGCTTAATATTTTTCTTCATAGTGCAAACCTTCTCTATCAGCTTGCCTAAAAGAAGTACTTTTGGTGTTATTTCGTATCACTATTTCCCTACATACATATTTTCTTTTTTTTTTCACGAAGTATATACATTAAATACATATGTAATGTGTGCACATTAGCAATATGCACTAGATTGCCTCCCCTAATGTGGAATCATAAACTTTAAAAATAACAGGAAATAAGAGAAGACTCATAATGGGACAGTGAGGGGAGGAAACATTTTAGTCTCTAGTTTCGAAAATGTACAAACGCACATGTGCTCGATCTAATTCATTCCTTTTATTTAGAAATATTCAAAGGGAAAAAAAGAGAAAGCTCTAAGTGATGAATATAAAGAAAATGATGTCATAATGTATACTATATATATATATATATATCGTATACCAGCATGTATGAATTATTTTAACACAAAAAAAATTATTGGTATTGTGTTGTTATGACAGATCATATTATTTCGACTTCCATTTTTTCGTGAGCATGTATTGTTAATCCATCGAAAAGTTCATATTGCTTGTGATTTACTCTTCGTGATTAGTATTGGTATTATATATAACCTCTTAATTTCATCGAAAACAACTGCAACTATACCTTCGTGACACCACTTTCATTTTTAAGAAAGCGAAAGGTACAATTATTTGTCCTCAATAGCTCTTTAGTTTTATTTTGACATAAGGCTTTCTACTTGTCTTTTTTTAAAGCATCTTCTCCGTGTATAAGCATGTTGACACATTTCGAAGGGAAAGGGGAATAGCACAAAAAAAAAAACTAACCATATTACTATAAAATAATAATCAAAATAAAAGAGAAAAACGGAAAATAGATACCTCAACATTTGTTGCTGGTGTAAAAAAGTGACACTAAAGAAACGAATTCATGATGAATCGCTCAATGAGGATGAGAATAGTATGAATAAAAGAAAAATACAAGATGTGTGGTAAAAAGATTTTATTGGGAAAGAATGCAAATGAAGCTTGATTTTTATGCCAAAGGATACGAATGAGAATAATGCTAATGATTCCCTTTCCGCTCTGAGAAACAACTAATAATTTGTATTCATGTTTGACAGAATTGAAATTTTTTTTACCTTAAAATTATTTCCCCGAGGTAGACTGCGACTCACTTTGCATAAATATATATACACTATAATTTTTCAGACTCTCTAGTTGAATTAGAAACTTTTCCCTAAAATCGGAAGCATCCACGTAGATGGTTTCCCTGCTTGAAAACTCCCCTCCACCATATATTAAAAGCATGAAGAAAGCAAATCTCACAAAATACATAACCATCACCTATTTTCTACTGAGATAGAGAAAAAGGAAAGGAAAAGAAACCCGATCAGCGTTCCTTAGATAACCCCCTGGGCACTAAACGTAGTAAGGAGGTCGGCCTGGCCACGACCGGCCTGTCACCCCACTCGGGGCGTACGCACAAGGGGTGTCCCACTGCGGCAATCCCACACCCCTGTGTGACATGGCGGGCTTAAATGGGCAGGCTGGGGAGGGGGCGAGCGAGGGCCCCCCCCTCTGGGCCGGCCACGGGGGCCGGACCACGGCGGGCGTGAAGAACCCCCCACCCCCCCAAT